TTATTAATTATGATGAATATCAAACAGCTGTTTTCAATTATGAATTGATGGCAATCTACACTTTGAAACAAAATCCGTTAATTTAGTACTAATTTAACCTGTTCCGAGTATTAAAACAGCACAACTGCTTCATTGAATTGAACACTTACAACATGTTCAATTTCTTTGACGTCAAAGCTTAGCTCCTCACAAATTTGAACATCAACAACAATTCGGAATTTGGAATTAATTGAAGTTCAGTCAATTAACCAGCGATATATTTCATTAATCATAGCTTAACATTTTCAACAGAGAGACTGCTGACATCTTGGCCAACAAGATTATCTCGGCAAAATCAATACCATGTGTTGATGTTGAACAGTGTCATCTCCAACAACATAATGTCAGCACAATCAAACAACTACCGTAGTTTAGATTAGTCTAGAACTTGAATAATCATTGGAAACTACTTCCAATTTGTTAGAATTTAGGTTCAATTGTCCTTTCATCACTTGGTTTCTAAAGAATTGTGCACAGTATCACTTTTCAAGTCAAATAAATAAACTTGTTCCTTCTTTCGTCCAGAATCGCCATTTTAAATTGTAAAATCACAAGCTTTGACGTCTTTCACACACTTTAAAAAATTAAAACAACGTAAGCTATGAAATTCAAGAGGAATAAAACGTTAGACGAAACCGTTGTGTCTCCTTCCTCGTCAACACCAACCAATACATCATCTTCTTCTACATCGTCATCCTCTTCAAAGAAAAGACCTAGCAGTGTAAATAGTGACTTTGATGTTTCGAATTATGCCATTGTTTTTGAAGAAATGATGGATTCGAAAGAAACTCGTGATTTATTCTATGAATATTTGCAGCTTAATCGTTCGGTGGAATCTCTCATGTTCATGAATCAAGTTGAAGAATATCGTGCGGAATATAACAAGAAATTCGAGAATGTTATTTGTGGTGAAAATGTTGATAAAAAGCAAGNTTCATACCAAGATTGTAGAAATCTATTCGAAAGCAAGGGGTATTCTTGATCAATTTGTGTTCAAG